CTCCTGGTCATGGACCTGCATGGAGGGCAGTTGAGGGCTTCACTTCAGACTGACTGCTTGGGGCAGTGGGCATGTGATGGTGGGCCAGGCCAGGGTTGGAAAGCTGGAGGGAGAGAAAAATGTTGGTGTTGATGATGGAGCAAAACCAAGCAGCGTGTCTCTTCACACAACTAACCTTCAAATGCAGAAGCCCTTAATAGAGAGGGTTGAAACACAGTTGTTGCTTTACTATAAAGGCTGATAAAGGCCTCTGTGCTGCTTATGTAATTGTCAGGCTTTCTGCTCTGCCCTTGACAGACAACAAAGGACATTAAAGGGTGCCAACTTTTTTTTTTTTCACATTGATACGTTAATTCAGTGCCAACCAATTGGCTTTCTGAATGAATTGTCACTGTAACAATCAATTATTAAATTTTAGGAGTGGAGCATGAAGCGGTGCAGGGAAAATGCTGTGGTACTTTTCCTGTAAGTAAAGTCCATTGTGATGGCTGAAGATGGAAGAGAAGAGACTTTTCTTTTGTATTAATCTGCTCCCCTTTACGTTAACTTTGATCTTGTTCTCATATGGTATCCTTCTGTTTTCTGTTACCTGTGTGGCAAACAGTGATGCTGACTGACAGGTTAGGTTAGGTGCTGCTAACATATACACTACTGGCAATTGTGTCCTGAGGTGTTTACTGCTAGAGGGACTGCAAATGGTATCTGTATAGATAAACCTAGTTTTGAGAGAAATGATAGCACTCGTTGAACAGGAGTGTTGGAAGGGGAGTTGTGTTAGTTGCTTCTGACAGTGCCTTCTGTAGGTCAGGCCAGATGTTTGAATTGTGTTGTTGAGCTTTTATCTGCTTGCTGGAAGGATCAGCCTAGCCTTGAACTGATGTCAGATACTTCAGTGTGGATGCCTTGCTTTTCTTTGTAAATAGTGATGAATGGAGTAAGGATAAAGGCGTGAAATACAGGTATTTAAATCACATGCTGTTTCTGCTCTGATCTCTGGGAGATGGTGCAGCTCCATGGGTTTCTGGAGGTGCTACATCTTCTGCTTTTCTCAGCTGATCTAAAGATGAGAAATCATTACAAAAATGTCAGATCTGGATGTATTTCATTGTGCCTTCAGAACGTCCTTTACTGAATATCACCTTCTCTGACACGTGGGTCAGCTGTGCACACGCTTAGCTGAAACATTTCAGGTATTTATTTGTCAGGTCCTGTCTGGAGCAAAATATCCCAGGCTGTTGCTAGAATACAAGAGAATGATGGGAAAACAGGTGATTGGAATTTATTTTTTTTTAATAAAAAATAATTTGGAAAAGATTTGTTTGACTAGTTGGCATATGTTTTTAACTGTTGTAATGTTTTATTCCAACTTAAGGGCCTTAGACAAAACTCCAGTTCCGGATTTCTTAACAAGTTCATGGATAGTGCAAAATATTGTGTGTAAACCAGTAGAGTAATGCATGTAAACTAGAGATCCTGTTATTGAATTTATAAGGATCTGAAAACAAAACTGCCTAACAAGAGACTAGTTTGGTGTTTTGTCCATGGGAACAGAAATGAAGTATTCAGTACCCATCTGGAAAGATGAATGATGCTTTAAAATACATGGTCTCTTTAATCACTTCAGTTGATAGCAGTGAAATTAAACTTGATTTTAATCTGACTGGTTGCTTTTTATTATGCAACAACTATTTGCATTATAATGTATGCATCCAGTAACTAACATTTCCCAGGCATCTATGCAAAGGATATGTAATTTAGATTTATTTGTTAAAATGTTATCACTTAATGATTAATTGAATTGGCGTATGACATTCATAACTATTAACTCTGCCTGTATTACACTGTGCTTATTAGACTGCTAATAGATAACTGGTTTAATCATACGTCAATTAAAAGGATGAGTCGGTTTCATTTATTGCAATTAAAGGATATCTGTAGACTGTGTTTGCAGGAAGTATCTCAATCACATCGAGTATCAGTTGCCTGTGTGGGTTCTGTTACTGGCTGTGTAATGCCCAGCTGAGTCAGTCCATGTATGTGAGCTCCAAAGCCACGTGTCTGGGTTCTGCATCGTGCTGCGCTGTATCTCTCCGTGCTCAGTACTGAGGGAAGATCTGCTCGTGTGGCAAAGCTTAAAGGTCAAGTAGCTTTCAAAGTATGATTTTTTTCGGTATGCTTTTGACTAAGCCTTTGACACCAGTATTGAATTTTGGTTTATGGCTTTTTTTTGTTGCTGTTGTTAGAAAACTGATTTTTCTGACAAAGCTTTTCCTCTTTGCTTTCCAAAGAATACGTGGTGAAGAAACCCTGACTGCCTTCCATTCAGTCGATGCATCATGCTGCTGAGAGGAGTGGATGGAGTGGGGGATGAAGGCTGAGTTTTGAGTGGGATGGGCTTAGAGAATGAAATACTGGGGGAAATTTCAAACGCTTCTGTTCCCACATTTCTCCGTGCTGCTCTTGCTGAATTGCAGCAAGTAGAAGGAAAGCTGTGTCAGCTTAGTGTCTAGAGGGGGCCCTGCATAGACTAGAAACTTCCTCAGGTGATAAATAATGGCAAATCTGAACAGCAGGAGCTGCTTTGTTTGTCCACTTTCCTCATGAACTGGGCATTCTGTCTGGCAGGCAGTGCCTGATAGCAGCACAGGGCACTTCATGTCTGGAACAACTCGGTTGGTGTCTGTGCCATGTAACATCACTGTGCACACACAACACAGCGATGTGCCTGCTGAGCTCACTAATGCTGTTAAGCTGCATTGCTTTCTGGCTTCTGCTTTGCAATAAGGATGAACAGGATATTCCGTAATCTCACAAGCTTGTTTTCTCCCTCAGCTGGCCCCAAAATCTGGTGGTTTGGATGGAAGATCAGACTCTTCTTCCTCTGGCCAGTGTCTGCTCTTATTGTGATGGTTGTTAAAGAGTACACTGCTCGTTCTTGCGTTACCTGGTTAATTACACCTACGCTATTCTTTTTTTCCAGTGAATAATTAGAATGTTGAGCAGAATTGCAGTAGAGCCTGGAAAAGTGTTTGTCTTTTGGGGAAGAATTTGGCAAAACAATATCTTCTGGGATTTTTTTCTCTTTTCTTTTTAAAGACAGTAGTTAGACTTTTCTTTTTAATCAATGATTCAGGGGTGCACTACCTGCAGGAAGTTGTAGGGATGGCTGTAGAGCCATGTGACATGAGTACAGTAATCGTCTGAGGGAGGTCCTCACAGGGACTATTGGAAATGCAGTAGAAATCCCTTGTGTTCCCTAAAATTTTAGATACAAGAAGTAGCTGCTGAGGTGGTTTTATTACTCTGGGCTTTGTTAGGCAGAGAAGCAGTTCAGAACAAGAGAAGCTGGGAGGAACTGTTGGGTTATCAACTTTGCAGCATTAGGTGTCTGTAAAAAATGCCAATAGTACCCTAATGAGAAGTGTGCTTAAACTGACACAAAGTTTTTATTTAATGTGAGGAATGAGTCCTTCCTTAAAAGCAGCATTTCAGCACTTGTTTTGTGCTTATCTGTAACAGTGGACCATTAAAGTGAGGTGTGCGAGCAGAACCATTGGGAGTGCAGGGAAGAAATGTTGGCACTTCAGTTATACATGTATGTAGTCCATAAATATACCTATACTGGGGGGTGCAGGCACAATATCGTTTTGTTTTGTTTTACTGGTTGGATGTATACAATCAGAACGATTTGGAGACCTTTTTGGAGCTCTGTAATTCTCCTGGTTAGGGAAATGCATGTTTCCAAGCTGGACGGGGACTCTGAGTGGCTCTGATGTTTGCTCAGATGCGGAGTAGCCAGGAAACTGGCTGCAAAGGTTCTGATGGGAGAATGCTGTGTATTAATTGGGAGGGTGGTGTTTGTGCAAGTATCACAGTCGTTGACTTGTCTTGAGCAGCTAATTAGTGCGATTATTCCACAGCTGCATTAGTTTCACCACAAAGGTTTTCTCTTGTTTTATCAAAAGGATCAGTGTCTCTGTGAATGTTTCAACCTGACAGGTCTTAAATAGTGAGGCTGTCTCCTCCCTCTGCTCCCTCCCTGCCCCCAGAACGTGTGCTCTGGAAGAGCAAAGTTTGATCTCTGGTGAGAGTAAGCATGGATCCTCCTTTTGCATTTTCACTGTGAGCACAACACTGATCCTAAACAAACTGCACAAGCTTTCAGCAGTGCTCCTGTTGGCCAGGCTCTCAGTGGCCACAGTCCTGAGATAAGAGCTGGAGGGATGCTGGGCCCTGAGCTGCACTGTGAAGCTGCCTCAGCAGCATTGTGCACGTAGCACTGAAACTCAGGAGCCAGAGGTGGCGTTTCCCTGCTGGTTTTCAGGCTTGCTGTGTATCTGTTTGGTCCATGGAGTCATGGTTTCCTAGGTGCTTCTGACTCCCCTCCCTTAAAGGATGCGTAGATTGGTGTTTACTTGCCTTAAGAGTTCCACTTTATAGAAATGTCTTATAAATGGAATCTTCTGGGAGTGAACAAAATGATTGATTGTTTAAGAAGATGTCTCTGCATTTACAGCAAAGTGCTGTGCTTGCCCAGAGTTGGTGGTGTTAACCTGAATGGCTCAGCGGGCTTTGGGAAGGGTTGCTGCTTTCATGGAAGAGGTAGATTTATTTATTCTGAGCTAGATGATTAGACCTGGAGTACTGTCTGTACCTCTCAATGAATGCAATTAATTCTTTACATAATTATTTAAAAAATTATGAATATGAGTACCTGCTGCTGTCTATAAAATCACTTGTTTTTCTCATGGTTGGTCGCTGCAAAACTTGAAATAGGGAGGCATGTTTTCCAGCTGGATATTGGTGTTTAGAAGTGGTTGGTTGCAGTCAAGTTAAGGCAGCACAACGCAGCTGCTAAGTACCCTCAGTAGGTCAGCCATGCACCCGTCTTAGTGCGGCATTTCCGTTTGGATTCTGCTCTGTGGTTCTGTAAACCCTGAGGCTGGGATCAATGGAGCCACTGGTAGAAGCTGAGCCATCTCTCTCTGCTCTTCCCACAGCAATTCCGAGCATCCTGGCGCTTCCAAGCCTCCCTTAAGCTCCTCCAGCATGACCTCACGGATCCTGCTACGGCAGCAGCTCATGCGTGAGCAGATGCAGGAGCAGGAGCGTCGGGAGCAGCAGCAGAAGCAGCAAGCAGCCCAGTTCATGCAACAGAGAGTTCCCGTCAGCCAGACACCTGCCATCAACGTCAGCGTGCCCGCCAGCCTGCCCCCTGCCACGCAGGTACCCATGGAGGTCCTCAAGGTACGTCGGGTCCCCACACTCACTCTCTGAAATGGGCTTTATGCAATAGGGATGTGGGAGAAATATTTCCAGCACCGAAATCTTGCAAATAAGTTTCGCTTCGGCTTGATTTGCACATTGGTTTGGTGTCCCAGTATTCAAGATTGAAGATCTTGTTAGCTTGTGGCCTTTTTTTTTCTTTAAACTTCAAGAATCTTGGGAAAGAGGTTTTGTTACAAAACTCCTGTTTCTGTTGTTTTCCCATTGGAAGCCATTGTCCACTCTTTCTGACGCTCAGTGGTTTTCAAAAGGAAGAAATTATTAATAAATACTCAAGTCAATATTTCATTTTACAAGTAATGAAAGATATATATGTATGCTTTTAAAAATTGAATCAAAACTCATTGCAAAAAGAGGTTTCCCAGAAAGCCTTAATCTGAAATACGGTGAGTTTCCAGCCCCTTGCAACAAGCCTTGGTAATCCTTTTTTGCTTAAATGACTTGTTTGCTGTTAGTAGCTCTGGGTTCCTTGTCCTACTGGAAGCTGTAGGAGCTTGTTAGTATCTCTCTGTCAAAGGGGATGCAGCTTGCTAATTACTCAAAGGAAATCTTGAACAATTAGAAGAAAAGAGAGAACTTCTTGCTCAGAGTAAGTTCATTTAGAATAAAGCAATGTGAAAACATGTTAGTCAAAGAGCATAAAAAGTAATGGAAAAATATGATAGATCTTGGAAAATAAATGAAAATTTTACTCTTACAAAGTTATCTATTTGCCTTGCATTACTGCAAATATGCAAATGCAAATATCTCTTTTCCAGTATCTTTTTATTGCAGTTTTATATTTAGTAATTTTTTCAGCCAATAAGCATACTCTTACCAGATAAGTTAACTGGGTTACTGTATGTTCTTGTGTTTTGCCCATCACTGTTCTGTATTAGCGATACATATTCTAAGATTTAAGCTTAAAACAGAGCTGCAGGCTCAGTATTTCAAGGCAATCTCAGTGTGACTGTTTTATGGAGGAGCTGCAAGTTGTTCTCATGTACTGAATCCGCATTGTGGTGTTGTGTTGACAGTGCTGTTAGCAATACTTGCAGGAATACCAGAATATACTCCAGCACAACCCACAGTGTAGGAGTTAAACTGATTATCAATTATGTATTTAATTTTTGAAGGAAGTGCATGTACTTTGTGCATATGTGCACATACCAAAGAGTCTGAAACTGACTGGGAGAAGCTATTTTGTTTTAATGTTTGTGCATCCTGAAGTTGCTAAATTTCTTTCTTGGTTATGATCCCAGTTACAATGTGAGAATCTAGCAGGTATGTAGGTGATATCAGTTAGTTCTGTTCACAACACTTTTGGTTAAATAATTGTATTTTTTGATAATTTCATCCTAATTTATCATAACACGAAATGTAGTTTGTTTTTTTTTTTTTTTCCTATTCTAAATCTCTCTGAAAGCTTATAGGAACATGTGCACTTCCTGATGCTAGGTGTGCAGTAGCTTGAAGTTTTAGCAGTCGTTTACATTGTCCATTTTACTGCTACCTCTTCACATGAGAGAGAAGGGAAGGATGCAAAGGATTCAGACTTGAATCTTTATCTTTTGGGATCCTAGAGGAAGCATCTGTCCCCACTTCTTCCACTTGGCAGGAGAGAGGGCACCTCCTTGGCACTCAACTTGTGCCCCAAAGGCGATGTGCTTGACCTCAGAGGGAAAAACTAGCAAATATATGCTTACCTGGTTTGTAAATTGAAAACAATGCCTTGCAACAAATGCCTTTTGGAAACAGAACTGTGCACTGAAGTAGTGGTTGGGGAAATGTGAGCTACCTGATGGAATAAAACAGCCTCTGACTGCCTGTCACCTGCATTTACATAGCTAACAGGCAGCAGGAGTGAAACCACATCACTGTCACCTCTTGCTGTGCACAAGGCAAGAGGCTGCTTTGCTGCTTGGCTCAGAAGTTGTGCCTAACAGTAAATGGGGATCTCCCTGGTGCCGATAGGCTGCCAGCCAGCTGTGCCTGAAGTATGCTGTGCTGGTGACATCACTTCCCTGGAGCTGCTTCTTACACTTCAGTTGTTTTTAGCTGTAGACAAATTGTCCGTATGAGCCTAGACAGCGTTTTTAATTAAATGAATAGGGAACTACATGTGGTAGTTCTAATATCCAGATGGTCTGGATTTAGTGACCTTAAAGAATGAGATAGTGTAAAAAAAATGCCATTTTTGTCTTTCAGAAATGTTAATCTGTGAGGCAGTTTCCTGTGTGAGAGCTTTTCCAATGTTACTTCACAGGCCAATACCGCCAAAAGTAGCGGCTGTTTTATGTAGTTGGCTTTGGTTGATTTTTGTAGAACTTAAAATCGCATTAAAAGCCCTAACCAATCAGAAAAACCAACTTGGTGAATTTCCTGTTTGTATTCTGTAATTACACGGTGTGACTTGCTCTGTCTCCTATGTCTCCCAGTATTAGGGGAAGAGTACTTGCATGTCTGAAGATGGTAGTTTGGGATGACTAGCATAAAAAGAAGCTGAAACTGTTGATGAGCTTGCATTTTGTATTTCCATGATGCTTATGATGTCATCTAAAACAGCACAGAAAGAGTAATTCATATAAACCTATGTCACATTGCATAGGAATCTCTACATTACGTAATGTGGTCATTACGTTCAAGGGTATGTGAATAAATAGGATTTTATTTTATTGAGTAATGACTTCTTATTGCATCATTTCTCTGCTAAGTATGTAGCTTGGCAAGGTAGGAAATAACCCGTTGGAATTTAAATTTTGTGTTGCTTTGTAAAATGTAATTATGAGATGGACTAGGAGCAGGTGTATTTCATTTGAAATAATATCTCTTCTGATAGCAGGAGGAGGGTTTGTTAGGGCTTTCAGTTGTCCTTCTTCACTACTGATGTTAGTTTCACAGGCATAAAGGCTAATTTATCACTAAGCAGCTTCCTCATCCATATCCTAGTGGTTGAGGAGTGATGCTGCAGAAGGATGAATGTCACAAGGGGTTCTTTGTTTCTCCTCTGCTTCTGGACTTCCTTTTTGCTATCACAGAACTGTTTTTTCACCTGTAGTGCTGGCAGCTGACACTTACATGTGGGGAGCATCTACTGTTGCTGCTTTTTGCTGATGGTAGCTTTAATGCTCCCTTCTCACCCATTCCCCATCTCCTTTCTCTATGAGCAGCTTATTCTAAAATAAGTGATCTGCCTGCTGAGTCACTGGTGGCATACAATAGTGCTTGTAATATGCTGGGTACTTTAAACGTTTATCTGTCACAGAGGACCTCACTTAGGATTCGTCCTGCCTTGCAGCATAGGTGGGTTTCCCCATGGTGGATGTTAACTGCTCCTTTGGTGCTAAAAATACAACTCTTGACTGCTGTGTGTTGTCATTGTGGCTTGTTTTCCTTAAACATCTTTTCAAATACTGGACCCAGACACTCTTTGTTGTGTTTTTGTCCTTCCTTCATCATTCCAAGAGTGTTTGCCCATTGTAGGGCTGACCAACACAAGTCTATTCGTCTTTCCTAGTGCCATCCCTGCAATCACTGTGGTTCATTTTCTCTTTTGCCCTTGCAGCAGCTTTTGCAGAGCCAGCAGGAGCCCAGTGGTGCAGGAGCCCACTCTGGCCTCTTACCCTCATGGCATTTTTCATTCAGATTTTAAATGCACCACCATGAAAAGCTCTTTGCATCAGACACCCTGTATTCCTTTGTATTTGAAATGCCAAGCATGCCTTCTGAGTGGTGATAATGATCATGGATGTATATCAAAAAATACCACCTCCTCATCTTTTTTGTAGTATGCTCTATTGCAAACAGTGACCCATGGTGTTGATATTGTCCTTCTGTTACCAGAGAAGGCTGAGCAGTTAGAAATAGTGCTCCTTGTATAGTAAGTACCATGAAACTCCATTGTATAGCAGACCTATCTTACAGTTCTGAAGAACAGGAACAATGGGATGTCAAGATAAGTGCATGGTAGCATCTGCTACATTAAGTGTGTGTTTGTGGGAATGCTTATCTGATTCCAAGTTAATTTAATCGAACCTGACAACAGAGATAGTGGTGTGTGTCAGTATGTTAAATAAGTATGGCTTGTATTTGCAATTGTAACTTAGAGAAGTGATTTGCCAGAACAAGCCTTGGTGAACTACAGAGACAGCAGTGCAGAGCCAGTGAGCATAGCTGAAGCCTACAACAAATTCTCTGTTAGGAAAAACTAGCTTTTAACTACAGAACCTCTGAAGCCTGCCTTGCCTTCTAAACCTTTACATAAGTAGAAGCATCTCTTGGGCTTGCTTAGTGAGTTGTAAGCTATTCCAGAATAAGAACTAATGATAATGTCTGTAGTTTGGACAAGACATGAAATGTAGAATCTTTCCTAATACAGAGGTTACCAGATGTGCAGGTCTGGGTGTTTTCTGGGAAAATAGCACAGTGAACAGAGCAGGAGCTGTAAAGCTGCTGCTCCTCATAGGGCTGGTGCCTTGCACACAGGCAGCGTGTTCCAACAAGGCAGTATGCTGCTGTGAGGATTTAATTGGCACTCTGCATGGCTGTGCTAAAGGACCAGATCTACTTGGTACTTGGTAGCTTGAAATAACGCTCCTGACAAAGATGAAGCATGATAACCTCTCCAAAGGTAAGGGAAACTTGCCAAGTTGGTTCTATTACTTCTTCAAAGTTTTCTTTCTGCCATGTTTTCTGATGTCTGAGTTACCAGGCTTTGGGAAAACTGAGGCTTATTATGTGTTAGGGGCTGCTTTGGAACTGCAGATGAGTTCTGAATGAGTCTTCTCAAAGTTTTGTAGGAGCTCACAGCTGTGGCTGCTGGAAGCACAGAGGAGTTTCTGCAGCCCACCAGGCAGCAGGTTGTAGCAGGCTGTACTTTTTCAGCCAAAGTTAATTAAAAAACCCATCTTACTACACCGTACTGGTTGAACCCAGATCATGGAAAGGGGCAGTGCTGCTCAGTGCAGTTGTGCTTTTTGCCT